GCCCAAAAGAGTTAGTAAGATTAAGTGGTAGTGAGTGGGTTGGTTACATTCGTCACAAAACCGATGACCGATGGAGTAGACGGATTCTAGAGTGGAGACCACGACTCGGCAAACGTAGTGTAGGACTCTCTAGAGATGTGGAGTGACGATATATGCAAAGTGGCTGTCAGCAGTTGGATGCGTAAAACTGAAAATTGAGCTCAGTTGTGTGCTATAGGAGAGGTCTATGTCCAGCAGAGGACGAAAGCAGGTTGATTATAATGACTTCTTTATCTTAATAGTATAAGACCGATCAATTAGTCCTAAGAAATCAATTTTATAATTAAAATTATGATGTTCTGTGCTTTTTGGCGTCAAGATAGACACTTGACGATCTGATCGGAATATTTGTCAATTACCACACGATTTAGGAAGTGACCAAAAGAGAACTATTAAACTACAGAACTATGTATCGTCCGATAAACATTACCGGCACGGAATTTTTATGCAACACGAAAATATGTATTGCATAACTGAAGTATGAAATTAATAAACATGCATACGGTTTATCTCGTCCTCCGACGTAATCGATATCAATAAAGACTAACGGATTTCTATGTCCCGTAAGCGGTGAATTGTGATTTTTTGCAATAAAGTAACAGTTAAAATTATAAACTAAATGGTTTGTCAAAATACAGGGAATTGTTCTTTTGGTATATTTATGAGTCTAATTTATTTTCAGCTTTTAAGCGATTTTTTTTGGAAAATTTCGCCAATTACAAATAGATCAAATCTAAGACTAGTCCACAAAATGTAACCAAACATATCTTGCACTATTCTCGTTAAAAAATATTTCATGACTTATAAGTAATTTGCTCTATAATTTCAAGGTTGTTGTTCATATTTAAACGTAGTAATAATAAAACAAAACTATAAAGTGCAAATAAGTACCTACATAACTACTCCTACACATTCACATCATCGGATGTTTGAAATGACGAATCTTCTTCAGTAATTATAATTATATTCTCAAAATAGATGTTAATTATCAGCACAATTCCTATAACAAATTGTTTTATCATATATTGTTCTAGGTATATGAATTTATATATTATAGTATTTAGTATACACCATAGCGAATACAGATTTAATAGGTAAGTCGTAAAACGGTAATACTTATATTAAAAAGTTCTTATTAAAGCAAATCATTTCGCCATCTATGAATACCAAATAAGTACTCGTATATATATTTCCATAATGAATATGGTACAATTCTTTATGGCATTAAAAAGAGAGCAATTTGCAATTAATTAGCTTATCACTTTCTATTCTGTGCACTCAATGTAGTTTCCTCTTTAATATTAAGTATGCATAGTTAAAGTCTAGTAATGTCAACAAAATGACGCTAATGTGGAACGGTTTAACTTACATCGTATTATACGAATGAGAAATAAAGTTTATTTTATATTAAAATAATTTAAATAAAATACTCTAATAATATATAAAATATTTATACCGATCGATACAACTGTCTCCCAATAACAGTAAAAGATATTAAAACCTCAATTAGTTAATACTCTGAACAGCTGATTGTCACTCACAACACAACACTGGACACTCAAAATTTACGCACTGCGCAAAACTTTTTTCGAAAAAAGTAACGCGTGCGATAAAAACGCAATTTTTGAATTCCGATATGCCGATGTGTTGCGAGTCGGAAGCGGCATAACGCACTGGCGCGAACGCCACGCTTCGCGCCGAACGCGACTGTCGGAGAAATGTAGGGACGACACATGCAACTGATGATGATCCTGAGTGATTTTCCGCTTATTAAAAATTAATATGCAGACCGTGAGGGAAGTGGAAATGACCCATTCAGATTGTCTGTGTCTGATTGACTATAAAGTTATGATGAAAGGTCATTTTTAAATGGTCGATTGCTTTTTTGGTTCATAATATATTCTACCTTAAAATTCTAGTATTATATGCAGTGGTATAACTAGCCTTTTTGGGCCCCAATGAAAAAAAAATGGAAGTGTCCCCCTTTGCCTAGTATGAAAACAACTAAAAACTGGATTTTATTATACATCAATGAATAAAGACTGAAATTGCAATTCTTTTATAATCTTAAGCTGCCATCCTTCCAGAGAGAGTTTTCGAACCTATCACTTTTTTAAAACCGCTTTGACGGAAGAACGCATAGAGTAAAATTTAGTAAAAAAGCTGAGCTTAAAGGATCATTCATCGTTTTATAGAACGATTACATTCCTCGTAGGCCTCGTAAAAAATAATATGCGGAAAGTTAGGACACTTATTTTCTTGCGTTTCTTTTTTTATGTCTATGAAAAAATATTTTAAAATGCCTGCCGGAGTCCCCTTGAATTAGGGACCCCATGCGACAGCATCAGTTGTAGTATTGGCATAGCTACGTCACTGCTTATATGGCTTATATTTAATGAAAGTTGCAGTAAGTTTAATTATAAAGATTAGAGATTATACTTCTACTAATTGTGGCAACCCTGAATGCATTAGCTGAGACAATAGACAGTAGCAGCAACGATGCGACATTGCAGTCACCGACTGATATACGAACAGTAAGCTCATAAGGAATATTGACTGACTCACAATAAATAAACAAAAACCTTTTTTCATAAATAAAAAGTAAACGTAAAAGCCCTTGGCCTTTATAGTACCTGCTTTGTTTTAAACTTCCCATTCAATTCAATTTGATTTTTATTACTGTTTCAATTTATTGCGATCAAAGCATGAATAAGGACATGTAAAAACAAGGAAATAAACAAAATCTGTTCACAAAACCTAAAATAATAATGAGTCGATTGAACTTAAGTTCATCTGCGTGTTACTTTTACGGATTACTTTACCTGAGTCTGTATCACAAAACCATATTAAATCGTTTAAATTTTTCTGTTTCTTCTACCTTTAAATATAACTTCGAGTTATAATATACCTTGGCGTTACAATTCAATATCTTTAGACATGTGTTTTTGTAATTTAATTAAAAATAAACTATCTAATTCTGCACTTTTTATATAAATTATTTATTAATAAAATAATAATACCAACTCAGTCCTTTTAACGTCCCACTGATGGGGGCGTAGAAATAGGAGGGAGAAGTTGGCCATAGTCCAGGTGGCCCAAATGCGGATTGGTAGACTTCACACTTTTTTCAAAAACTAATTAATTTTTCTCAGACATGATTGTCTCAAATTGTTTTCCTTCGCTGTACTCGTATTTTATATAGTAGAAATATTGAAAATGATTTGCACGTGAAAATTTTAGATGCGCAAGACCCAATTTTAAACCTTCTTAATTTGGTTTAACAAGTGAGCGTGTCACCAATACTATCGCAGCTGTATGTTATCATACTAATTTTAATTATTTTTAAAATCTTTTCTGTGTATTGAGTGCTATAATTAGCTAAGACAATTCAGTAGCATTTTGAATAACAATAGGGATCCTTCAAACAAAGCAGGCAATATAAACAAGACTGTGTTTGTGTTAATTGTTTATTACATTACGATGTTAATTTAATTTTTCCTGCTTATTAATTAATTTAAAGGACAGACAAAATGATTAGTTGTTTTAAGGAAATAACAACTGTAACATTGACTTGTAATTTTGTGCTTTACGTAAGGTTTCTATTAGTCTAGATATTAACAGACAAAAGGAATATAGACTATTGTCAAACTCTATTAAATTTATACACTATACAGGTAGTATATACAGTAACTGCCTCGGTGGTGTAGTGGCTAGCATGTACGGCTGCACACCCGGAGGTCCTGGGTTCGAGTCCCGGGTCGGGCCAAGTTTAGTTATTGAGTCTTCCTGTATAGTAAGTCTCAGTAACAGCCCGGAGTTGGGAAGTTGGCGGTGTTTCACCCCCGTGCCTCGGAGAGCACGTAAAGCTGTCGGTCCTGCGCCTTAACTCTCACCGGTCGTGTCGGGTAGTCGTCCCACCGGAGTATGAGAGTGATAGGAATAGAGAGTGCACTTGTGTCTGCGCGTACACTTGAGCACTATAATATCTCCTGCGCAGTTGGCTAATCTCATTGAGATTGACCGCCGTGGCCGGAATCGGCTAGGAGAACATCATCATACAGTATCTTGATAAAGTAACTTAACAAAAAATACAATGGTCCAATATGCTTGTCGACTTTTATTGTGACACCGTAACAAATCGGGCATGACAAATATTTTCAAAACGATTCTTTTAAGCCGCATTGAAATATGAATGGTTAACCACAAAACGTCATCACTAACTTTTACAAAGTGATCTTTATTTTCAACGGCCTAAGACCTATAAGCACGTTAGCTATCCGCCGCTCTTTGATTCGTGATACATTATCATTCAGGTCGGCTAGCGTTCGCAGGAATCGTGTGTAAGCTGTGAACGTCACCGACTCTATTAATTAATGCCACTCTTACTTGACGAAATGACAAATTAAGAATGTTTTAGGCAGCAAAATTGTCATATATTTTAATGTCCTTTCATAAAGCTCAAAGACGATATCTTTGCTTTGTTATTTGCTTGTCTTGTGAGAACCTAATTAAATTAATTATTTCATTGTAAAATCTTATTCATAAATTCTCAGGAAACATAATTAAGCGATCTCAATTAACTAATTGTCTAAAAGCATGAATATTGTATACTAGCGACTCATCCTCGCTTCACTCGGGTTCGTCCCTAGCTTGTTTCCCCATACAAACTTTCATCCCTATTTTCACAACCTTTAGGGATGATTTCCGAGATAAAAATCCTATATGGGTTAAGTATCCTATGTCCTTCCCAGGGTCTCAAACTATCTTCTTACCAAATTTCATCTAAATCGGTTCAGTAGATCCAGATATTACCCCCTACAAGTTACAAACGCACAAACTTTACCTCCTTATAATATTATAATAGATTGTAATATTTATGTAGGACTTTAAAATTCTATAATAACGAATGAACGCAAAGAACTTGAAAGCTATGACGAAACTTTTGAAAAACGACAAATTTAACTCGTAACTAATTTAGAATTTCTGTTTGGTCGCACTCCGGCAACATCCTCTATTTGTGAGACGTCGCTAGTATCCATATTTCTCACAAACTTTGCGTTGACTACACCGATCGATATATTAAAAATTTTAGATTATTATGAGTTTACTTTTAGATCAAATATGTAATCGAAACTTAAAATAAATAATTATTATATACGCTTATTTTTAAATATACAAATATTAATTATAACAAACTTATAATATATTTAACTGTTGCTGAACATTTTACTTATGCTGTAGAATACAGATAAAATAAATTAATGAACTAGATGGTGCCCATTAAATAAGCAAACTTTACTAAGTAGAGTTCGCCACTCCGCGACTCCGTATTGAATACAGTTCGCGCTTTCTTTATAAAATATAATGAATATCGAAAATATCAATGATGGTCGGCTTTGCACTCCAACTTTACTTCAGAATTCTTGTGATTTACATATTCTAAGGTTGGCAAGCAGCTGATAGAGCAGAATATACCTACCTACCTCTCTCTTCAAATCACAAAGAATACACAATATATACTTTGTACGAAATAAATACCCCAAGCCGTTGCTCCATTACTGCGTAATACAATATACACATTTTCACATCTCTTACAAGAAATAAATATTAATAAAGAATTAAAACCAAGTATAAAAGTAGTCTAGCTAGCGGCTCTTATACTTTCATTGTAGGCCATAGGGAATAAATGTCACACTGTCCATTCTATTGGGACTCAAGGGAGCTATGTCAATTATAAACGACCGGGCCCTAATTGCTCGTTACCATGTAGAGTCAAACCGTTGGACGGTGAAAATGCTTGTAGTATTCCTAACTGACTGCGCACCGCAGTACACTTTATTTTATTCTTAAATAAGTAGGTACATGAATGTTTTCTATGCATCTTCAATTGAGTGCAAAGAAAAGAATTTTATAACTGCCTTCTGTGTAACTATAAATTGTCACGCAAATGTTATTTTTTTAGTTAAAGAGGACAGCTATTACATAAATCAAACATAATATGTGTTTATTTATTTATATTGTTTGAGATGTATTAAATGTGAGTATGAGACTAATGGTAAGACTAAGTAATATCATTCAACAATAGTCGGTAAATAGCAAAAATAAAAATTTCATTTATCGAAATAATATGTTCTAAAGGATCAATGTCTTATAAGTATGATGGTCTCCTAGCCGTTTCCGGCCACGGCGGCCAATCTTATTGAGACTACTACGCAGACAGAATACTACGCAGGAGATATTATAGTGCACAAGTGTACGCGCAGACACAAGTGCACTCTCTATTCCTGTCACTCTCACTGCTCCGGTGGGACGACTGCTCGACACGACCAGAGAGAGTTAAGGCGCAGGACCGACGGCTTTACGTGCTCTCCGAGGCACGGGGGTGAAACACCGCCAACTTCCCAACTCTGGGTTGTTACTGAGACTTACTATACAGAAAGACTCAATAACTAAACTTGGCCCGACCCGGGACTCGAACCCAGGACCTCTGAGTGTGCAGCCGTACATGCTAGCTTATAGGTATATATTGTTTCTTAAAAGTAAAATAAGAACTGAGACAAGTATGCAGTTGGTGCGTAAAACTCGCTGTAATCGATTGGTGCCGGATGGGTGCGCGAGCGTCACTGCGTTTATCAATCAGAATAGGGCTGGCTAATTATATGGTATTAAAATTTTTGAATTCAAAATTAACTTTTAACATACGTTTTAGGCATAATTTAAAATTGTAAATGCCTTTGATTTGTAGAATTCATTAAAATAAAACATATGTTACTCTAGCTGTTTCAATATCTGTATTGAACACGGAACAAAAATATCGTCAATAAACTAAAAACCGGTTAAATTTATTAACCGATAGACGTATATTATAATAATTAATAAATATATTTTAAATTATTATACTAACCGAGGTAAATATAAACTTTCTATATTATTTACTAACAATACACACAATAAAAAAACGACAACGATAATTAACGAGAGTATTGAATTTGATCAATTATTTATATATAAGTCTGAAACAATTGGTTTAATTGGCCAGTCATCATGTCATCTTTGTTTTTTTTATATATTGACATTTTTAACAAGTTAACAACCCTTAAAACAGTAATTATTAATTTTAAGCATTTCTTTGTTTCAGCTTTTGAAAATGTCATTCAATATGAGAAGCTAGGTATACCCATCTTAATTAATTAAAATTTTTTATGACAATAGATGTTTCAAAATATACAAATACCTGTACATATTTTGCAGTCCATGATGAAATGACCGTATTGCCATCTATCGTCTAATAGTAACAGCACAACAACATTCTTAGTTTTTAAATGCCCAATAGATGTCGCTATGCACAAAGAGTAGCTCTCCTATTCAATACTAGATGGCGTAATTTACAAACATATATTTTACGTCTATGTTGATATAATTTACCTTGTGAAGGCAATGCACGTAGTGAAACAGCATCCTCTTCTATGTCATCCTCTGCTTCCTCTTCAGTTATAGATGGAGGCGCAGCCCAACATCGTAATCGTACACCATTCCCAACGTTATTACCGCCATCAATTCTCACACGAGGTAAACTCCGTGTTGTGTACTCCCCGTTGTTACTAGAAGCCTAGAAAAAAGAATTAAAAGTAAATACGAATCTTTTACAGAGGAACTACCAATATCTAAATCTATAAATTAGTATTAATCGTATATTTAACCGTCTTTATAAAGGAAGTGGTTATGTTAGGCCGGTATTTTATTATTGGTACACATATTTTGTTAAATATTTGGCAATATTAAGCTACATTTTATATATATATTAATTTTCAATCCCTGCAATACGTATACTTAATTTTAAAAGATTGATTATATGCCGAATTATATAAATATTTACAGAACTTAACGTTTGGTCAAGGGAAAATTGATAAAACAAACATCCGTATTCATAGACAGATGCCCTTTATTTGACTGTAACGCACCCGTTATACTTCGATATTCATTTTATTATAAAAAATAATAAAATAAATAAAACATATGTTTTTGGAGCTTATAAATAGCAGCTGGTTCATTCATAATAACATTAATAAGTTTATTTTATGAAAAATTAAAAATTTGTATAAAAAGTTATTTTCTTTTTCAAATTATAACACGCTTAAATTATAATTAATCTACTATAACTATGTAATGGACAAATATACATGTACATATTTTGGACGTGGATTTTAGGCTACATATTTATAATTTTATTGTATCGATTTCAAACTTTCTGAGTAGATACTACATATTTGAAATCTGTATGGCAATGTGATAATTTGATACCATCGTGTTATTCTTATGATGAGGTCAGAAAGAGAATAGTAGAACTCTTCATTCGCTACGATAATAGCAAAACCTTCCAGTAACAAACAGTACGTAGATCAAAAGCATTTTTTTCAGTTTTTTAAATCTATAATTATTTATAATAAATATATATTAATCTTACTATAGTGTAATCTATATATACTTTTTAGTATAACCTATCCCATTACCGTAAGAGCTCTATTAATTGTATGCATTGTGTTGATTGTTATAGGATCGAATAGCTACATCCTGACTCATGCATTGTCACCTGGTACATATCGAACACCTTATATTAATAAAAATTTATAATTAAAGCCATTATATTCCCACGTCCTTCTATCTCCTTTCTAATATGCCCTGAATCACTTCGATCGACGCAATGTTTGACTTCAATGAACGTTATCTCATCAGAACTATAAAGTCTCAAAGCGATCGTGTTGTACACTCTTAAGCGGATAACACTGTGTTTTGGTGTTTTTATTTCATATTTTAAAATGGTATAAAAATGTAATAGGTGGAAAATAATAAATTCTAACAACTAAAAAAATAACGGGCAAATATAAAATTTTATAAAGACAATGTGTTAGCTTTTACAAATTGCATAATGTAGAAATTGCGCGTTTATTTTTTAGTTATTTAAAGAATTATACATAATGTTACATATAAAAAAGTTATATTTCATAGAAAATTGACATCTGCCAAAATGACTGTGGCAGACCTACTAACCTAGTGGTCACTGCTTCGACTTCCGCTCGGGATGAATGTTTATATTGAACAAACACTAGTAGATGTGCTTGCTTAACACGAATACGAACGAAGCCCATCGGCCACGTACTCAAACCACAATACGATGAAAAATTATTAAAAAAATATTTTAGACAGTTACTTTCTATGTTTATAATCCTAACTACCTAACTAAAATAATGAAAACTATGTATTTTTTTATCTCATTAAGATATTGTCATTCTGCCGTCATGGAAGCCAATGCCCAACCAATTGTGATGCATCACGACGAAGTGGACGTATCTTATGTATGGCATGGTGTTTTCACAGACTCTTAATCAAGCTTGCCAAAAGGTTCCCGTGGGATATTAATATATTTCAAAGATCACAATAGCTTACAATATACGCAAGTCCGAATGTAGTAAAGGCGAGGCCAACTACTTTACATTATAATAAAATAATTAAACTTAAACCAATTTCAGACATTTACTATTTTCTATTCCAAAACTTGAAAACCTTACACACATATTCACTCACAGACAAGTATATAAGTTGCAAACACATGCACATCTCATTAAAGTTTAAATGAAAGCGGGTTAAGGGAATGACGACATATAACGAATTCTAACGAATCTGACCCAATTATAAATGTTTCGTAGAACGTATTATATAAAATGAGAAGATAAGTAAACAGTAACTTCAGTATTGCCGCGTGCGTTAGGTTAAATGAGGATAAAAACATTAATAAAATTTTATTTTTGAAAATGTAATAAAACTATGGACTAAAATAAACGCTAATGAGTTTTCCGAATTATAAGTATACAAAAAACATAGTTTCACTCGTTTTTAAATATATTTTTTTATACTTTTCATGTTAAGTAGGTAATTAAAACAAAATTATATTTAAAATAAATTATACATTCCAAATAACTTGATAATTTTAATCATTGTCATAAAAAGAGCAACATAAAGACAAATGAACTCAAAAACTTTGGGAGCTTGTTATTTTATTAGAACGCTATTAATAAGTCTATGAAAACAAGGCGCCCGACGTAATGGAGTTCTTTTCATGTTAGTATTACATATTATGATGTTAATTATTTTAAACAGCCTCTATGTTATTGATAAAAGTGTTTACTAAAACGGAAGTCAAAAATAAATAAAACTCACGACTGCTTTTATCTAACTTTAACTTTTTAAAGTCCTTCTATGCTTTCGTTATTTCTATCGAGGCAAGACGTAAATAGATCAAAGATTTTACTACATCCTAATTTCATGTGTAATAATTTTACTCATACGCATGTACACAAATATAAATAAAATAGCTAAACAAAAGTACATCTTGTTTTCCTTTTAAACTTTATTTATATATTTTTCGTTGGTTATGTTAGTTTATGTAATCTATACTAATATTATAAAGCGGTAAAGTTTGTGAGTTTGTGACGTTGTAGGGAGTAATCTCTGGAACTACTGAACCGATTTAGATGAAACAGACTTTTTATCCCAGAAATCATCCCTTAAGAATGTGAAAATTCGGATGAAAGTTTACATGGGGAATCAAGCTAGGGACGAACCCGAGCAAAGCGAGGGTGAGTCGCTAGTAGGATATACAACCTTAAAAGAAATAAAAGGCTACATAAAACTTCATAAGTATTAAAACTTATTGTAAATACTTTTAAATAGATACCTAATTAATATAGCTACCGATTACGACCCCATATTGAGTTCGTACGGCTATTTGCACAATAGCAAAGTCCAAACAACCGTTAAAAATGCTTATCTCTATTCTATTATTTATTAGCAGGTATTTAATTGGCAGATAGAGGATTCGGTCGGAAAGGACATAGTCTACTGTTCATTCCGGAGAAAGGAAAAAATACCGCGGGATTGAAGATAAAAGTTTTGAGTCCTAGAATACTTAGTAATCAATTACGTTGTTGCTAAGATGATATCATTACTTGCTCTAACGGTCTAACCGATCCTGAAGGAATTGAGGTCACAAAACACACTACATCATAGCGTGTTGAACCACATCTGCTTCTAATTTCATTAAAAAACACATTGGGATTGTGTAAGTTATTATAAGTAAGCGTTTACTTATATTATTCTATTTTATAAGTTACAAATATCCAGTTATAAAACAAAATGAAATCGATTATAAGTAACTTAAGTATCGTAACGTATAAATTATGTAAAGGTAAAGAAATTTTAATTTAGAGTTTCAATTTGTAATACTAAACTAAACTTTTTCTTTATTACTAGACTAGCATTGCCCACGGCTGCGGCCGCGGCTTCGCCCGCGTTCAGATGACCACAAACCAAATTCTTAGGTTTTACATATTAGTATACTCTTACATTGCAGTTTTTGTAATTTTTTTTACAGAAATAAGACGTTTTCCCGCGGTAAAAAGCATCCTATATGTTGACCCGGATAACCAGCTATCACCATACCAAATTTCATCAAAATCCCTTTAGTGGTTTTTCTGTGATGCGGTAGCAGACAGACAGACAAAAATACTAAAAAGTATAGATTCGGCCTCTGTATCGATAATAATGTTTATTTCAATAAGATATATTAGGTTAGCGTTTAATTTCGGTAAGTGCCTATCAGTGTCTAATATTAATAAACCAATAACGGGCAACAAATAGTTTAAACTATACACTTCATGCAACAGCTAAGTAATTATCCGTTCATAGGAAATAATTGATCAATATCTTTCAATATGTTCCTTAATTATAAATTTGCATTTCATTTCCTACGTTAAATATTTCATTAAATTTATTAAGAGTTAACTTATGTATATTAAAGATTTGGGCAAATACATTTCACAATCACTTAAACAAGAAACAGTCCATGTAAATAATAAAAAATGATTTAAATTAAGCAATTAATTTTATATCTTATATTTATATGTTGATATCTATATATTTATATTATGATATCATTATTTTTAATCTATAATAGGTATTTTGTATATGGTGTGTAATGGTGGTGCCATAGCATGCATGATAAAAAACCCTACTAGTTTACTCGATTTCTATTGCACTTATAAGAATTAATAAAAAACCTATTTTATTTTTTTAAACTTCATTTTTGTTCACCATGCTTTTTCAACCGACTTCAAAAAGGAGGAGGTTCTCAATTCGACTGTATTTTTTTTTATGTTTGTTACCTCAGAACTCCGTCATTTATTGACCGATTTGGACAATTTTTGTGTTGTTTGAAAGTGTATACTTCCAGATTGGTCCCATTTAAATTTCAAAAAAAATACCACCCCTAATGGTGGAAAAATATCTAATGATGAATTTAGCCTACTTCTAATTGTCATATTGACTTGAAACTTTGCAAGTGTTTCTATTTCCGTTGATAGTACAGTGGTTCGATATTGTTGACCTGATCTGATGGTAAGGCCAGAAGATGGATAGGTGGAACTCTTCAACGGCTAATAGTAGATACTTTGAGTTTGGGCTTATTTTGTTTGATTTGAACTAACAACCTAACACGTTAGAATTCTTACTTTGCTACTACTGTCTACACTAAAAAGGGAAAACAAAAACTTTTTAACAAAAAAATAAAAACCGACTTCAAACAAAAGCACTAAAAAGTAAAAAATAACTGATTGGTAGTTTTCATTTACTATACATACCTAATCAAATATTTTCGAAGTCGGTGTGCTTTGGCTAAGTAATTAAAGCCTACCTATAAAATACATACCTAATCAAATATTTTCGAAATCGGTGCCAGCCCTTACAAAGCAAAGCACACCGACTTCGAAAATATTTGTTTAGGTATGTATAGTAAATGAAAACTACCAATCAGTTATTTTTTACTTTTTAGTGCTTTTGTTTGAAGTCGGTTTTTATTTTTTTGTTAAAAAGTTTTTATTTTAAACCCAGTGGTGTAACTAACCGTTTTGGGTACCCAAAGCAAAAAAAATGGAAGTGCCCCCCTTAAAAATATCGTTAGACCTGCTGCACGCTTATATACCTGAATATGAGAGAGACAGTTTTCGAACTTCTCACTTTTTCAAACCGATCTCACGGAAGAATGAGTAGAGTAAAATTTAGTAAAAAAGCTGAGCTTAGAGGATCATTTATCGTTTTATAGAACATACGTACGATCCCATTCCTCGTGGTCCTCGTAAAAAATAATATGCGGAAATTAAGGACACTTTTTTCTTGCTGTTTTTTGAAACTTCTATGAGGGTCGTCCTCGAAAAAATGTTTTGAAATAAAAGAATCGTTTATGGCTCGCTGAGACCCCTTGAATCAGTAAAATATTGATCGACAATCGACATAATATATACAAATTGTTACAATAGCTTAGTACCATAATAGATACAAGAGATTCACATAGCCTTATGCAGCGGTACGTAAATAGCTCGGACCGGTAACATTCGCAATTCGAGATTTCTACTAGCTGCGAGTACGTACTCCACTGGCACTTATTGTTTTATTGGTCAATCCCCTCAGCCTATTGTAGCATGCCTTATGAATTCTAGTAGCACATTAAAGAAAACATAATAGATATAGCGTTTTACTCATAATAACTAACATTAATTGAAAATACATCTAAAAAATTAAGTCCCATAAAGTTTTATTATATAAAATCAATATTCACCAATTAAAATAAATAATATAAAATATTTCGTCGAAGTTTCTTACAAAACCAGCTTGATAATAAAATATGTAAAGCTTAAGCAAAATTTCAACAAACAATTATGTATTGCAGACTTAAGTTTTAAGTTCACCGCCTCGAAGGCATGAGTCAGAATGATTTGCTTTAAACGTACTCGCAAAGCTAATAATAAATCGTTTTCACACATATGGTTCGTCCTCAATGTTATTTTCATTAAAATATACAGTAAGATATAGTTCTTTAATATCAAAGTGTTTTTATTAAACTTCTTTCAAGACACTGTAAATTTAAAATTGAATTTTAAAATCAAGAGGTATTTTTTTTAAATATTAGCTATTATCATAATGTTACAATTGATGAAAAAATAATCAGTTTAAATGTTAAAAACCATTACTTATGTATGTTAAATGTATGATCAAATGCCAAGCAAGCATTTGCAAAGCAGTTTTAAATAAAATCACACCATATGGTGAACTTTGCATGAGTTACTCAGATTTGCAAGATGTTTTTTCAAAGAAAAATTGAAGATAAACAAAATATACACCATTGGCTAAATTTATATATTTAGTAGCGTAAAAACGGATAGCCTAAATTTTAACGGGATCTTTATATTAAATATCGAATTCTATAATTCAACAAATACAATTGTTATATTTTACTTTCACCTAAGAAAAAAACGTATTAATTGATAAATGTAAAATTTTGTGAGTATGAATGTTTGTTACTCTGTCACGCCAGAACGGCTGATCGGATCTAGATGAAATTTGGCACAGAGATAGATTTTAGTCTGGAATAACACATAGGCTACTTTTTAACCCGGAAAAATGTACGGTTCCCGTGGGATAGGTTTATTGTTGTTTTCCTAGAGGCGAACCCGAGCGAAGCTAGGGTGAGCCTCTAGTACTACATAAATTATTTAGAATGAGGCAAAAGATTTAATATGTACAGAATTCGAAGTATCGAATACTTACGCATACGGCAAATGACATCAGTCGAAGCTTCCATTTAGGATACACAACATTTCCAAGAATCTGAATAACCGCCGTCAGTAAATACTAAGTTAACTGTCTGGTAGGCTTACTCGCTTATTTTGTAAATGGTAAATATAAGTAAGCTTGGAAATTATTTAAATATGAAACAATTTTTTGATTCGAACGAGATGTGACAAAAGTAAATAAATAAGTAAATACGAGTACGTTGAGACAATAACACACATCACCATCTAGTTCCATGTTAACTACGACGCTTGTGTTATGGATACCAGATAGTTGATACACTACACATATATAACTAATACATATTATAAATATAAACACCCATGACAGGAGTACAAACATTCGTGCTCATTACACAAATGAATGCCCCCAGCGGGACTCGAACCCGCGACCGCTGGCACAGCAATTAAGGTCACTACAAACTGTGCCGAACGTGTCGTCAAAACTCATAATAGTAAAAAACCACAATAGTTAATTATTTAATTTTGCTACATTATAATACACCTAAAATGGAATAAACCACTTAATTACAGCACATTTACCAAATACAGTTTATTCTAATTTTGACTATTATTTTAAGATACATAATATTGTGTAATTCCGAAATGAAATGTATCTTGATGTTCACAATAATGAATAATGCTTTTAAAATAACCAGATTTAGTAACTGAAATTTTTTATTACTCGAAAAACAGTGACAGGTGGACACAGTTAGTAGCACACACATAAAGACGAAAATGTAAAATCAATAAGCAAGTATATTTATTTAACAAATACAAAATGACAAAAAATATAAAAAAACAATATGAGATACATATTAAAATTAGGCTATAAAAGGTAAGTAGGACGCATTTCACAAAACATACGCAAAATCTTTCCACTAAAGATTTATAGCTCAACTAAATCAAAACATTATTTACACTGCATAGGAGGAAATAGGGAGTAAACCACACTACAACTTCTCTTACCTTATAGTCCAAATAGAAGCCCGGAAAAGACTGAAGGAAGCATGTAAAAGAAAGCATATTTATGTTATCAAATTCCTCGTCAATTTCATGTTACAATAAAAAATATTAATTAAATAATTTCATGTTATATAAATATTTATAAGTAATTCTTAATATTGTGTTAAGTTTCTTTCAACACGGCAAATTTAACAAGTAGATTTTATCATTTATTCACCTTTCAAAGCTCACGGTCACGGATATACTTTGGTCGTGAGCTCTGAAAATATTGCGATAAAACGATTCATTGTAAACTTTATGCATAAAGACTAACTTAACTATGTACTCATAAGTACTTAAGAATTAAAATAACTAAAATTAAATAATAAAGTAGCTTTGGTTTCGACGGAATAATTTTCACATACACAAAAGTTGATTTAAGCTAGAGACATTTTAAGTGCACTGATAAAGCAATCATCAAAAAGCTTTTAGGTAGGTACCATTATATACCTACGGAAAATTTACTGAGTGTGGCGTTCAAAAACATTCCATTATCTAATTTATTTTACAAGCTTCTTCAAGTAAGACCTCATTTTCTCTAATATTGCCAATACCCATTAAAAGATATCGCTAATTCTATAGACATTAAGATAAGATAGTATGTAAATACTGGACTGGTTTTCAGTTAGCTGGCACACAAGGAGTAAAATTCAAAGAGGTTAAATACATCGTGTTCGTTTTATCTATTTCAATTAAACCTTAAGAGGAACGGCACCAACTACGATTTTGAAATTAATAACGAGTATGTAATGAACTTTATGAACAAATACATTTTTAATGAAATCTATACAGTATACATAGACTTGAAATCAATTCAATCTTATATAAAATAATCAATTAAATGCTAAATGAAACAAATGTCTGAAACTTAAAAGATAATTTAAAGAAAATTTATATTTGACAATAACTTTTAAATATGACGTAACAAAATGAATATTCCAAACTTAGGAAATCATTATCTGTTAGTTAAGCTTAATAAATATTACTGCGAGGCAAATAATAATATAACGCAATAAAATAAGCATATAACATTCACAAGCAGAACCTCTCCAATAGGACGGTTAACTTTGATTTATGCAGAAAACCGGAGTACCTACGCCTACACCGCGAACGTCTGTTTATTCTTCGAGTAATCTTTAAATGTATACTACACTATACTATACGTAAATTTTACGATACCTACGTGTCACAAAAGGAATAAAAAATCTTCACACACTACAAACTCTACAAAACCTTTACCTCTCCACTATAATTAATTCGTTAAAACCGTTCGTTAATATGAACTAAAAAATATTTATCATTTTTATTTGTTAAATATTTTAGTAGCGCAATGAAATGTTTTATACTTAGTAAGAAATATATTTAATAGGACAAAATTAACTATAGAGAGAGGTGTAAATTAATGTTCAAGTATGAGAACATATCAAAATGTACTCTAAAACGTAAGATCAATTTAAAGTAAAAACTATTAAAATAATTACCAAAATGGATTGAACATTAAAGAAGATAGTACGCTGTGACGTAACGTATCTCCATTCATGTAACATAATTATTGTAATGATGATAATCAGAATGTTCAGAACAAAATGCTACGCAACGCTGAGAGTGCGCGCACGCAGTATGTTCTATTAAAATAGAACTTCAGACACTTTCACTGTCAAAAACTAATTAAAGTTTAAAAAAAGTTATTAAAGTATCTGTTATAAATAATTACACGACATTTTTCATTTATTTATCGTTCAAATTTCTCTGTACCTACTAAAAGTACCTACCTACATTTATGATGTTTCGATTTGCCGAATTTCGATTTAAAAAAAATGATTCATATAGCCTACTTTAAGTATATCAAAAACACATAAAGATAATGCTTTAAGGTTTAGTACAAAATGAGGATGTACTCGTTAAATAGTAATTTGCTTTTACAGTAAAACGCCTATAAATGTCCGTCTTAAGAAAATTTAAGTAACAATTCGTTGGATGTATTTGGTAAGCCCCAAAAAACATTGTGGATTTATAACCTTGTGATCATGTGTTTGTGACTTATAATAATTACTAAGTTGACGTGGCTAAAAAATCTTATTTGTGTTTTTCTGAAAGTTTTCAATTAGTATTAAGTAAAAAACGAGAGTTTCGAGAAAAAAGATAAATTACCTCAAAGATCAGGAAAGCGGAACCGTTGGTCCAATATAATTTTAAATTTATAGACAAAAACAAATAACAATGTCGGCTCAATATTCAATGTTCCGTGCAATGCGCTGGCCATTTTGAAAAGTGCTCGTCAAAACTAATGACGGTCATAATGTTCGTGTGACATCGGACTGCACGAGTTGTAATTGCGTATGTAATATGTAATGGTCAAGTCACATAAAAATTGTTTCAAATCACGAGTCCTACATTTATGGATCGAATGAAACAGTTGTAGCAAATTCGTTACGCTCTATTGATGTCAGATTTAATTACTGCTATGTCCGGTTTTTGCGCGATTGATTACAAAATATGAAACAACATCTGCGTAATTGAAACTGACATATTATAACAATTTTAGCAAGAGCATTTCTATTTAACGTTATTAATTTGCATTTGTTATTGCCTGTTTTATTTGAATTAAGTGTAAAAAGCTTATATAAAATAATTTTAAATACAAAAATGAAACTTACAGCCAACTCTTCACTAGTGTACGCAGTGAGAGTCCGCCGGTCCTGTTGCAGCACGCAGTAGAACGGCTCCCAAGAGCATGGAAGTACGCCTACCGCCGCGCCGCTGACCGCGCTAGTCGCTGTATCTAAAGCAAAAAAGACAAGAGTTATTACGAATTTTTACAACATAACAAGTAATAATAAAATTACTTTCAACTGAAAAGGTACACGAAATCAAAATTCCTTTATATGCAATAATTTCACCTTTACATAAACCACTTATGTGTATTTTTTCTTGTTTACTAATTAAATACCATTGACTCTAATCTATTTAACCTACTCATAAAATAATAAAAACTTCTTTAATTTTGGTTTACAATTGGCTTGTATAATACGTAGCATAAACACCCGAGCATGCGCCCTTTATGAGTATCTTCAATTCCATTTATAAAGGTGGTAAAGTATTATTAATAACACAAATCTACGATAAAAAGTTTTTGTGATAATTCCACATCAAATGTATAAATTGATCAATATATTCCAAATATAAGCTTTGTGTCAACGTATCACGTCACAATTTTTTTTATATATAGGTCAAAATATTCACTGACAATATAGTAATTAAAGCTGTTACTGTCAATGTAATTTAAACATTTGTCCTTATAAGTTTCGAAAACAAGCTCTAACAAACACTAATCTATACATATAATAAAATTGTAACTAAGCCGAATCTGTTCATCAAATATTTTTTGGAAAATCTTATTGAAATAAACATTATTTTACAGAGGCCAAATCTATAGTTTTTAGAATGTTTGTCTGTCTGTCTGTCTGTCTGTCTGTCTGTCTGTCTGTCTGTTACCGCATCACAGAAAAACCACTGGAGGAATTTTGATGAAATTTGGTATGGTGATAGCTGTATATCCGGGTCAACATATAGGATACTTTTTACTGTGGGAAAACACCTCATCTCTGAGAAACCCATACTAAACGGAAACTAGCTAGGGACGAGCCCGAGCGGAGCGAGGGTGAGCCGCTAGTGTTCCTGTATGTTATCCGCTTTATTCACATTACTCGAAGTTTCGAACCTATATAAAGAGAGAGATAATTGAATAGTTATTAAGTCTAATCGACTTAACCTATTTTGTTACATAATTTAATCGCATTTATAGCAAAGTAACAGGTGTTCTAGCATAATGAGTATGTTTTGTACGAAGCTAATAATACGACATATCGAGATTACATTAATCTTACTAATATAACTTCTTTGCATAATAATAGCTTTAACGTTATTCCGTAAATTATTTTTTGTAATAATTAATAGTAACTGCAACATAAGATTAAAATTAATTTAATTTTTTTTATTAAAATTATAAAATAGAGGTGATGTAAATAAAAAAACATAATGAAATACTTTCGTTTTAAAGATTTTATGAACACATAGACACCCGAGGAACGACTTAAGCTCAATTTGATTGTTTGGCATATTAGTATACCTATACATATAAAATAAAAAGCTTTAAGGCTCGATGTTTCGCATCTGCTATACAAGGAGAACAATGATTGTTACCAATTCTTTTGAATGCATATGCCCAGGCATAGTTTGTACATAATGGGCTTATTGCACGCGAAACAAATAATATTATATATAGCAAACCAGTCGGAGCAGCCATGTTACACTATACATTGTCGGACCCGTAGACGAGACTGCCAAACAACCTGTAAAGTACGAAACTGACATCTCATGGTAAGCTAAAGTAACGATCTTCTGATACACCTGAAATATTCCGTTTTGTAAACCGTCGGTTTTACAGTTATTTAAGCCCGGTTGCGGTCACTGGAACCTCAAGGCAAATGTAAAAACCACCGTCTCTATACGATTCTATTGCGGCGGTATAAGTCAATAGGATATTGGTAACAAATTCCACAATCAAAATGAATATTCGATTGTTTTGTAATAGCCTCTACTACGAGTATTTACAATTATGTACGGCAAAATAAAGACAGATATTGACAATAGAAATGTAATGAAATCTAAATATGCCACTAAACATAAATTGTAAAGTGTTTTTGTGAATAAAATTACTAGTGGCTAGTGTCTTGATGTCTAAAGTGCTCTGGAATGGAATACCGTACATTTACTATTTATTAGTTAACCTGTTTCTTTGATTAAATGTACAATATTTCATAAACACCGGTATAACAAGATTTATTAGTAAGCAATGCGATTTGTAAATATTTTGTACTTACAAATTGTAAAAATAAAGATCGGCTAAGTGCGTGCTGGCCTACAGTTAATAAGGCCTAAGGAATGCATACCAAAAAATTAGAATTGTCTTAGATACCAATATTATAAGGTCGCAGTTTATTCACCAATAAATAAAGTGCGACCTTATAATATTGTGCACTACTTTAATCTTTTAACCTTGGAACATGACAAAATTATAAGGATTCCGATTTTGTATTTTTGCTAAGGAACCCCAAAACGATAATAGTATAATTCAAACTAAAATAGTGTATAATACTACTATTATTTTAATCACACGCGTAAAAGCTTGTTAGCGTAAAATGTTAGCATCTAAAAATAATATCATTCAGAAGTACAAAGACACTAAAGTGACAATTGAAACACTTATTTAGCTAATAAAATTCGTTGATGCGACCCATTACACTTTAACATGGATTAATGCGTTTCATTTAATCTATTAAATGCTGACTCAACTACCATCCGCAGAAAAAGGTAACTTAGAGCTTAATTCATTTTGAAAGCTCATTCAATAACATGACGTTAATGTATACTAAAAGAGGAATCAAACGTATTACGAGATAGAGTTCTGGGATCAGAAATTAGGCATGCCCTTTGCACTATAGATTTTCAATTAATTTAGCTCTACGAGACACTTTGTACAGTTCTCATTCAGTCTCACTCAGATTCAAAGAGAGTCTGAACACAATATTTTCAATATTAACTTCTCTTACACTTTCACTTTACTTCACTTTTCTTCTCTTTTCTCTCGTATTTCTTCTCTCTCGACCACTCATATGAACAATATTTTATGGATAGTGTAATATTAAATTGACAGTAAAATATAAAATGTATCATTGTTATGTTGACCTTACATGAAATGAAGACAATGCAACGGATATGTAAATTAGAAACTCTATGTATCTTAAGGTTTTGCTTATTTTTCATTGCATTAATTAGCTGTATGATTAATTTTTGTTACATTATAATATAAAAGCCACATTTAAAGTTATAATATATGCTAATCTAATACAGATTAAAAATACCTACATATCCATTTAATATCAACTTATGTACTATTGTCTCATCTCATTCTCGTTTAACAAAATTTTGATTCATCTATCCTTAAAAATAAAATTATAGTGTGTTATCTTGAAAAAACTTTTTTAGTAATCTCCAAATAATCAATTTTAGACCGTTCATCCATTTGTCTGTTTCCCTGGCTTTATCTTCAAATCTAGTTATTTTTGCGTAAAAACAAATCTTCATCGCAGAAAATAATAACAGCGAAAATGTGACTCAGGTACTTTTTATCCTACGAATAGGTACTTTGTTGTAAAAGTTTCATTATGTAGATATAACATACTTACATATAGATTATTCATGTGAAATTTGTTTAAACTTCGAAAACCATTTTTTTTAATTAATGTAAGGTCGAAGTAGTGTTCCGACACATAAGCTTACATAATTTGTACGCATCTTCATGTCGTATTATTATAGAGCATTAAAGAGGCATAAAATGAATCCTCCGAGGATTGAAGTGAGTCGCGTAACCGACGTCCATCGCAGATTCGTGCTTACTTTACACCGAGATATGACAGACACAAAAATAATACAACTTTTAAAACTATTTTAATTACAAATACCAAACGAGTTATACATTTCATTTTTTCATCATAAATGCTTTTTTTATAAATTTACAAGTGATAAAGTAAATTAATTTGTTCGGCTTTGTAACACTACATGAACAATACATATGCACATTACTAACATAACAATGGCATAAAGCAAAAAACTGATTATTTCACAATCGTGAGCACTGACAGCGAATGATTGATATTCATTAACAAAAAAAAACCGCTCTGGTCCGCCTAAAAATCTAGACCAAGCCACGTCACGGTCATAGGTTTAGCAGACAAGTGCTTCACCTCTGCGATTACAGTCGACAAACAAGAAATACTTGTTCGAACTTACAAATGCTCGACGGTCATGGTGCCGCTGATAGCACTTCAAGCTCAAATTCAATCAACTATGCAACAATATCAATGCCTAACATCCTCACTAAAATAGTTGCCGTAACCGGTTTTAAATGTAATATAAACCAACAACTCCTTTAATGACTTAGAGACATTGACTGTAATGGTTAGAATCTACTTAAGGAACGGTTTGCGAGTTCTCAGACGAACGAGAATTACTTGTCTCAAGTTATAATAACTTCCAACGACGTACTCGGCGGATGCAGTGCCGGGATGTGATAGGTTAAAGACGCCGCCACTTGTGACGCGCATTAACATCAAATTCAATCAACTATACGATGATGGAATGCCTGGAATTTTCACTAAAAGAATGAATGTTGCCAGGTTATATTAGAAGGCTAACCTTAATATGAAATACTTTATCCTAAGCAAAAGTAATGATCACTTGCTAGCATTCTATGAACATTTATAAGCATTTATTATACCAACAGCTGCATCACAAGTACACATGCTATGTTGACATTTACAATGATATGGTATTAATAATAGCAATTACATACACATAGTCAATTAACCACATAAGTTACAACGTATTATATACATATGTAATACAATATGAGGGGTCAATCTATATACTATACTAGCATTGCCCGCGGCTCCGCCCGCGTTTAGATTACCAAAAACCAAAAACTTAGGTTTTACATATTAGTATACTCTTACATTGCAGTTTTTGTATTTTTTCTCAGAAATGAGATATTTTCCCGCGGTAAAAAGTATCCTATATGTTGACCTGGATAACCAGTTACTACCATATCAAATCAAAATCCCTCCAGTGGTTTTTCTGTGATGCGGTAACAGACAGACAAAAATTCTAAAAACTGTAGATTCGGGCTCTGTATCGAATATCGATAATAATTTTTATTGCAAT